ATTCTCGGTGGAAAAAGGCTGATGAGATGGCGAAGTGTTACATTCTGGCTTCTATGCCAAATGTCCTTCACCATCAGCATCAGTCAATGGCCACTGCTGCAGATATGCTTCTGAACCTCAAGGAACTGTTTGGGCATCAGTCGAGGGCTGCAAGACAAGAGGCTTTAAGTGCTCTGATGAACACGCGCATGGCAGAGGGTACACCCGTAAGGGAGCATGCTCTCAAGGTCATGGCGCAGCTGAATGAGCTAGAGGTTCTTGGAGGTTTTATTGACGGGGAACCCCAGGTCGATATCATGCTCCAATCTCTGCCGAAGAGTTTTGATCAGTTCCAGTTGAACTAGAACATGCACAAGATGCATATGGCTCTTCCAGAACTGTTGTCAGAACTCCAGTCGGCTGAGGCCTTGTTCACTCAGAAATCAGTAGTGATGGTTGCCGAGCAAGCCGGACCTTCCAGGCCTCACAAGGGCAGGAAGAGGAAGAAGGCTGCAGGAAAGGCAAAAGCACAGAACACCCAGTTAGTGCCTCAACAGGCTGTGGCAAAGAAGCCGAAAGGTAGATGCCACAAATGCAATAAGTCAGGGCACTGGAAGGTCGATTGTCCTCTCCTCAAGAAGGGCAAAGAAGGTAACTCGCATACTTTTGTCGTAGAAACATGTTTAGCGGTTGTATCTACCAGTACCTGGTGTGTAGATACTGGAGCCACTGATCATGTCTGCAATTCTTTGCAGGGGTTCCAGGAAACCAGACGGCTTAGGTATGGAGAGATTACAATCTACATGGTCAATGCTACGAAAGTAGCAGCAGTTGCAGTGGGAGTAGTTACTTTAGTATTTGATGCTAGTATTTTAGTTTTGAACAATTGTATTTTTGTTCCAAGTTTTAGGAAGAATTTAATTTCAGTTTCTAAACTCGTTTTGAAAGGTTATTCAGTTTTGTTTAATAACTCAGTTGTTATTCGTTATGGTAATCATTTGATTTGTTCTGGTTCAATGGTTGGCAATTTATATGTTCTGAAACCAAAGTCTCCCACACTGCAACAAAATGAATTGAATAATGTCTCGACTAAAACTAATAAGAGAAAAGAGTCTTCAATGAATCAAGCATATCTTTGGCACCATAGGCTTGGGCACATCAACCTTAGAAGGATTCAAAGGTTGGTATCTATTGGGCATCTTGGTCAAGTGGAAGATCATTACCAGACTTGCGAGTCCTGCCTAGAAGGTAAGATGACCAAAAGGCCGTTTTCGGCAAAGGGGCGAAGGAGCCAAGAAGTGCTAGGATTGATTCATTCTGATTTTTGTGGTCCTATGTCGATCCAAGCTAGAGGAGGCTATGAGTACTTCGTCACTTTTATTGATGATTATACTAGATATGGGTACATTTACTTGTTGCACCGCAAGTCCGAATGCTTTGAAAAATTC